CCTTTCCCTTTTCTGTTAACAAAATCTCCCCTCAAGCCTTGCTAGTTAACTTAGATCACTTCCTCTTCTTATTCCTCTTTATTCAATCTCTGCTTCAAAATGCCTCTTAGATTTGCCACTTTCTCTACTCACATCTCAGCTACCCTAGTCCAAATGTATTTAACTCATACCTGGACCATGGTCATAAACTCCTCTCTTCTTCTCCAGTGCATTCGCCCACCCCTCCATCCTGCCCACTCTTTCCAGACTAATCTTCCCTCCACAAAGGTCCTCTGCGACCCCTCAGCCTCATGTCCAACAGCATTCACCATAGCCTGCCCCTCCAGGGCTCTCCCACTGCTTACCAGCTGCTGTGCTCAGGCTGGCATGTTTGGTGTTTGCTGTGCTGTGAGCCATTCTGCTCATTCCTCCATCCTTGTTTTACCAAAATTTTTACCTCCAACTCTGCAAGTGCTCTCACTTTCATCTTCCCAATAAAAAATCCCACACATCTTTAAGGCTCACCTTATATCCCTTTTTCTCTTTTCCCAGAAGACTTAACAAATCCCACCCAAAGAGATTTCTCCCTTTCTCTACCCACATAGCACTTAGTCACAGAGTTTAAAGTTCTCTGAGAAGTCATATAGAACAATTCTTCAATTTTATAGTTGAGATTAAGAGACTTGGTTAGTCCTGCAACCAGTTAGTGACAACTAAAACTAGAATCCACATGTCTTGAATGCATCTTCTTTCCCACTACATTTTACTACTTTTTGTTAACTGCAAGATGTTTTACAGTTTAATTCTATTCAACCTTATATTTTGTTTAGTGTTTAAAAATCATGTATCCCTGATAAGAGCATATGCAGCTTAGGAGCAATGATGTGATACAGGGTCTATATTAGGTAGAAAGCTCTTATTTTGGGGGCATTTAAGGCTGACATTCACAGTAAGGTTCAATGTAGAGCCAAACCATTAAACTAATATGTTTTGGAATAATTGGGAATCAGAGCCAGGAACACAAATCAAACCACGGAGAAAAAATAAGAGAGCAATTTAATGTCAGGAGCTTACAAAACCAGAATCAAGAGAAATGAGGAACATGCCATAGTACAAACTCCTTGGTTGAACTATAGATGGTTCAACAGGGGTAGGTCAATAGGGACATGTTCCTACCCAACTCCTATAACAGCGAGTATAGGAAGAAGAAAACGGATCCTTACCAGTATCCTCAAGGCTCCTCTGTCTAGCTAGAGAAGACAACCCTAAAAGGGGACACCAAGCATGAGAAAGCATGATTTCTAATTACAGAAGGTCTTACTAGCCAGAGAGGGGCTGAGCAGGGAGGCCAGAGCTGCTCAGATCCAAAAGGTGTTAAGATGCCCTTAATTGGCTGTTGGCGCAACCCCATAATCCTCCTGAGGCAGAAGGATTGCTTGAGCCAGGAGTTCAAGCATTTGGTGCTCCCGCTGCAGGCTTCCGAGTGTGGGCTCATCAGAACCTATCCCTCTTGAACCCTGGCCCAGGCCCCTGGACAGAGGCCTATGCCTCTTAACTCCTATCCTAGCTGCAGGACAACAGATCTAGCCTACCAGTGATTGACTTGGCCTACCTGTGCTAACTCCCTGTATTTTGTTAACATAAAGAGCTTAGCATGGAGTATACAAGATATTGCATGCTTTTACCCCACTTTTCTTTTCCAGTTTTATTTCCCAAGGTATCCCTTTTCTTATCTTAAGTGATAGCCATCCAGGCAGCCACCATTCCTCACATATAATACATATTTTCAGGCCTCCTTGTGCTGTTCCCTCTGCCTAGAGTGCTCTTCCTGTTCCCTTCCCACTCTATCTGACTGACAAGAATGTATTTATATTTTGAGATCCAACTCATATGCTTCTGCCGTAGTGAAGTATTCTCATATTCTCCCTAATCAGAAGAGAGAAACTCATTCCTTTCTCTAGACTCTCATAATCGGTTACTTGTGTTTTTCTTACAGCACGTTTTAAAAAATATGCTTTATAGTATGGTATAGTTTTAAAACTTCACTGTATTATATTCAAGCACTTAGAGAACAAGAACTATGTCTACATTTTCAGTGTACCCTCACAGGACCTAGTCCATCCTGTTGAATAAACATGTTGGGCTAGGCCAGGCATGGTGGCTCACATCTGTAATCCCAGTGCTTTGGGAGGCTGAGGCAGGGGTATCACTTGAGGCCAGGAGTTTGAGATCAGCCTGGGCAACATAGCAAGAGCTGTCTCCACAAAAAAATAAAATGAAAATAAAAAGCTAGCTGGGAGTGGTGGCATGCGCCTGTAATCCCAGATATTTGGGAGGCTGAGGCAGAAGGATTGCTTGAGCCCAAAATCAACATTCTGCCCTAGAGTGGCACATTTATTACAATGAATGAACCTACGTTGACACATTGTTACCACCTGAAGTCCATAGTTTACATTAGGCTTCACTCTTGGTGCTACACGTACATGGTTGGGTTATGACAAATGTATAATGACAAGTATCCACCACTGTATCATACAAAGTAGTTTCACTACTCTAAAGATTCTCTATGTTCTGCCTATTCATCCCTCCATTCCTGCGAACCCCTGACAACCAGTGATCTTTTTTACTGTCTCTGTAGTTTTGTCTTTTCCAGAATGTCATATAGCTGGAATCATCAAGTATGGAGCCATTTCAAGTTGTCTTCTTTCACTTAGTATAATTATATGGATTTAAGTTTCCTTTATGTCTTTTCACGGAGAATAGAGAGAATGCCACTCTTTGCATGCTTGATAGCTCATTTCTTTTTAGTGCTAAAAAACTTTCCGTCCTCTGAATGTACCATGGTTTATTTCCTGGTTCACCTACTGAAGAACACCTTGGTTACTTCCAAGTTTTGTCAATTATGAATAAAGCTGCTATAAACATTTGTGTGTGGGTTTTTATATAGACATGAGTTTTCAACTTACCTGATTAAATACCATGAAGCATAATTGCTGGATCATATAAAAAGATGTTTGGTTTTATGAGGAACTGCCAAGCTATCTTTCAAGATGGCTTTGCCGTTCTGCATTTCTACCAGCAATGAATGAGCTTTCTTGTTTCTCCATATCCTCATCAGCATTTGGTACTGTCAGTGTCTCGGATTTTTGCCATTCTAATTAGTGGTAGTAGCTCACTGTTTTTTAAATTTGCAATACCCAGATGACATATAATGTTGAGTATCTTTTTAGGTGCTTATTTATCATCAGTTTATCTCCTTTGGAAAGGTACTACTCTCTATTTTTCACCTAAGAAAAATAAATACATGCCAATTTTTCAAACAATATACTGGTTTACAAAGTAAAAAGTTGAAGTTCTCTCTCTCTCAATCTCACTACCCAAAAGTAATCACTATTAACATTGTTTTCATTCAAGACATGTTTCTATGCATTTACATACCTACAAATGTATATTTTATTTACTCATATGATTTTTATTTTAATAGTATTTTATGAGTTACTTTTTAAATACATGTTAAAGGTATATTACTTTAATATATCCTGGAGACCTTTCAATATCAGTAATGGGTGCAGAATATGCCAGAGGACGAATGTGTTATAAAGTAACTAATCAGTTCCTTATTGGACATTTACATTGTTTTTTAAATTTTTCTTTTTTTTTAACCTTTAGGCAATTCTATAATGAACCACCTTCGATATATATACACACACACATCTCTGTACAACAATGCCAGTATTTCTGTGAACAGAGTCTTAGAAATGGAATTGCTGAGTCAAAGATTACATAATTTAACAACATGATAGGAATTGTTCTCAAACTGCCAAACTGTGCACAAAAGAGACTGTTCAAATTTACACTCCCATCTAGTATTAGAGAGCGGTTCAGTATTCAGAGAAGCCATAAGAGTTTTAAATAGGTGCCTCAGGAGCTACCGGGGAAAAGAAGGGGGTAAGAAAAGGGCTGGTAGTCCACACAGCAATCTCCTGTCCTCTTCAACGAGAACACCTCTCCTTTGATCAACATTATTTATTGGGGTTAGTTTAAAATTCCTCTTGAGGAGAAGTTTCTGGTAGTAGACATTTGAAAACCTTTGAAATAAAAAAATTACCTGTTTTTAAGTGACAAAAATTATTAATTTATAGGTTACTTAGGAATGTTCTCAGGTGCAAGTAACAGATGACCCAACCACAGCAGATTGAATCAGCGAGGGTACAATTTTCTCATGTAACAGAAATGCAGCAGCTGCATTCGTTCGGTGGCTCAGCGGCCTTTTAGGCTTTTCCTTATGGTTGCAAGATGGCACCACTCCAACTCGAGCATCATGTTTGTATTCAAGACAAAGGAAAGGGAGATAGTTTGTATCAGTCACTCTGGCCTTTTTATCAGAATTGCAAAAGTGCTCCTAGAAGCAGTCTGCTTCTCCCTAAGATCTTTGCTCATATGTTATTGGGCAGAGCTTTTTTTGTGTGTAGCATCTAATGGTCGCAAGTGAGGTTGGGAAAAGTGATTCATTTTTTCTGGCTTTACAAAGGAAGTAGGCAAAAGATATGTTGGGTGTAGTTGTTGGGTTAGCCGGTCGTGATGTTCTGCCCCCAAGTGCTCAGAATACTGAAGACTAAAGATGCAATGACAAACAAGATTGTCCTTATTCTTTTTGCTTGTTTTTTTGCTTTTAGATACAGCTATAACTTTATTACAAAATCATTCTTTTGGCATTAGTCGGTTACAGTGATAGCAAGATAATGTGACTGTGCAGACCAACTCTGATGGAACCACTGTATTCCCTGCTTACTGAACCAAACTTCGGCTACCTCATATCCATTACATACAAGTGACCCGCAGTTATTACCGCTACAAATCTTGACGTGTGTACCACTGAGGGAGGAGTTGATGCTAAGGGAATAGATTACATGTTGATAAGACTACAAAAAGTCCTTTATGGGACTTTTTCTTCCTCTTCCCATCCAGTGACTTTGCTTTAGAATAATCACATTACTTAGAGCTAGTCTGAGTAGCAGCAGCACCCAAGGAGCATCAGTTCTTATTAAAAAGCAATGCCTGTGTGATGCACTTTTACACCACAGGCAAAGGGAAAGATCCTTCTCATTTTAAACTCCTGCAGAGTCCCTTAATAAAAAATAAAAGCATTCCATCAAGTTCTTCTGGGTGGTGTTATTGCTGTACATTTGTTGGTGAGTCATTTTCTTTGCTGTGTTTGCTTTGAAAGGATCTTCCAATATATCTCCAATATGCCTTTCTTATCATGTCCTTTTCTTTAGCTAGGATTTCACATAACCCTAATGCTTTATTAAGAATGTCTTCCTTATTGTCACACTGGTTTTCTAGCATGTCTTCATAGATATCCACAAGAAAGGCAATTAGGTAGGGGGAACTATGACTTGGTTGAAATCAAGTAATTGATTTAACAGATTAGGATATTTGGAAAGACCATGATCCTGTAAAATCCCTTTCAAATAGTTCCATGCACTTTCATTATGTGGCACTAGTTGAATCATTTCCAGAGTGTATTGGACTTCTCTCTCCAATACAGCATGATCATTGTAGCCAGTAGTGTTAGAAATAACGAAGTATCTTTGGTTCCAGACAGAGCTATTTCTCACATCCTCTTTGAGAAGTTGATCCACATACTGCAGCTCATTATCCCAAAGTTTAAATTCCTGAATAACCCATTGTCGATGCCGCCAGGCATGATAATTCTTTGCATCCTGATTAAGAATATTAGCAAAAATTCAGGCTCCTGAGATGGATCTCTTAGCCATTCCACTAATAGTCGCCTATGATGCCCAGCTTGATAGTTTTGGGGCTGCCCCTCAATTATTGCAGTGATGTAGTTCATTTCCTCATGTAGATCCTTCTGAAGTGACTTTAAGAGGACTCTCCAGAAATGCCACACTGTATAATTGGCTGCATTTAACTCAGTAGCATCCCAGGTTAGCTTAAAAGTTCGTTTGCTTCTTTCATCATGCTGCAGGACAGCTCGGAAGTAATCATAAACATCTCTAAATTTGTCACTATAAATGATCTGGACCACGGGATTGGGGCCATCATTCTGCAGCACTGGATCTATATCAGCCCATTCTGCTCTGTCCCTGCACAGGAGGTAGGAGGGCGAGTCTAGGCTCAGAAACCCGTCGTCCATGGGGGAAGTCACGGCTTCCCCAGCCTCGGCTGCCATCTCTTCCTCGTGCTGCTGCTGGGGCAGGGTGGATGCTGCTAGGGCGGAGGCTGCTCCAGCTGCCCAGGCTCGCCGCCTTGCGCAGCCTCCCGACCCCCTCGGTGGCCACCATCTGAAGATAGTCCTTATTCTGACGGTGTTAACAAACAGAAGTGCAAACAAACCAGTTTGCACCAATACGCAATAAAAACATTATATGTCCCAATGCAAAATATGTAGAGGAGATATTAGAGGCCGAAAGGAGAGAATGGTTAATTCTATCTCAAGTGGGGAGGGGTGGTAGGAGATCAAATAAGACTGTATCCAAAAAGTGACGTTTAAACAGAGTCTTGGAAAATGAGTAGATGCTCAGTGAGTGGAATGTATTCTAGATAAAGGAATGGAGGTTCTGAGGCACAAATCCATGTGGTACATTCCAGGAGCTGCAAGCAGTTCATTATGACTGAGGAGGAGGTTTGGAGCTAGATGATGACCCAGGAGACCTAGGGAGAGATGAAGCTGGAAATTGATGCTGGGACCAAGTCACGCAGAGGGCCTCCTGTGTTTCACAACAAGGACTCAGGAAACCCTTGTGACCTGGACAGTGTCATTGAGATTGTGTCACCTAAGCTGTCCAGTGCAACCATAAAGTGGAAAGCATGTGAAAAAAAAGTCCGAAGTACCTAAAACCTTTGTTGGATTTCCCTTTCACCTGGGTGCAGCTACACTTTAACACCCAAGTAGCCTGCACACCTGCTAGCCCTATTGGGTAAATACTATTGAGTCCTCAATCAACTATTGAGTTGTATTTGCCATCGACTCCTAGGGAAAGTTACTGCACTTCTCTGGGCCTCAATTTCGTCATCTAGAAAATAAAAAATTAAACTTTGTAGTATAGAATTTTACTTCCCCCCCCGAAGTGTTTTCAGATGCATAATTCAGGAACATCAGCCTGGTGTAATTAAAGGGAAAACAACATCAAGAAAGGCTTTTGAGTCAGAAAGACCTGGGTGTGAATCCTGGTTCTCCATGTGTTAACAGAGTTACTATGTGACAACTCCTTGACCTGTGGTTTTCTCATATGCAAAACAGGGATAAAGCACCTATCAGTGCCTGAAGCATAGCTATTACCCAATAAGTAGCACTGTTTTTATATTGTTTTTAAAATTTACATCTACCCTATAAGGTAGGTGAAATAGGTCTAAAGTTACCCTAAAGTTGAAGATCCAGAGGCATACAGATATTAGTAATTTGCCAAAAGAGCAGCCAGCTAGATAACTGGTAGAACTCCAAGTTCTTGGAGTTCTTGGCACAAATCCAAGTTCTTATTCTTTTCATAAATGGTGCAGCTTCTTTCCTCCAAGTGGTATGATGGGATTCAGATCTCTGTGATGCCTGTCAAGTGAATGATTTTATAAACAAATTAGATAGCCCCACACCTTCCTTAAATCTGAGCTCACGGAACAGGCAGGCTTGGGTTATCTCATGCTTTATAATCATTTATGGATGTGTGACTGGGATACTCTAGCCCTGTGTCTAGCTTTAGCATGACTATAACCTGCCAGGAGAGGGAGCTCATACTGACTCCTTGCTAAGGTTACAGATACCCTGGAGACTTCAAGGGCTGCAGCACGGCGAGGAAAGGAAGGGTGGGGTTTTCCTTGTTACGGGTAATGACTACGCAGCTTTCTGGGAATGCATATTTTGGGAAGAACACTGACATTATTTAAAAAAAAAAAAAAAAAGGTGAGATTATGACACAGAAAGAAATGACCCTTACCAGGAGGAAGTAGAAAGAAAAAAAGAGGAAGTGACTAGAGCAAAGGAAGACAAAAGGAAATTTGGCACAACAGGGTAAGTTTTGTTAATGCTGCACTTTTATTTAAATAGAAGGTAGACAAATGAAATATTTTTAGACTTGTACTGCAGGAACATAAGAATGGAATGAATGTTTTAAAAAAATATTCTGAGAACAGAATTAGCATGTGTCCTCCTAAGAATTCTTTCCCTATTTTGCTTCAGTAAATATTAACTTGCCATATGTCCAAACCCTGTGCTAGGCACTAAAGATATGGAAATGAACAATTGAGCTCTTGATCTCAAAGAATGGTCATTACAGCAGAACAGACTTACACATGAGCAGTAAATTACCGGAAAGCCTGCCACCTTCTATGCAGTTGTTGCTAGTAGAGGACAGAAGGGAAAGCTCTTATATCACCATAGGGGAAGGTCAAGTAATATTTATGATAATTATAGATAATTTTTTTGTGGGCACTCACCACCTGGCAGGCAGTCTGCCAAGTGCTTTATGTGGATTATGTCATTTGAGCCTCATAATAATGCAGGTGTTATTCTGTGATTTTCATTCTTTAGATGTGAAAATAGAGAAGCAACTTTTCCAAAATTGTAAGTGGTGGAGAGAAGTTTTTCCAAGGAGAAAACCTGGGCTAAGTATTAAAAACAACAACAACAAAATCAGACAGAAATGAAAGAGAAGAAGGATGGTGAAAAGGGGAAATGGGGGAGAATATTCTGTGCAGAAATAACAGTACGAAAGAGGCTGGTCAGCAAGTGACAGCGGATTGCAGTGGAAAAATCACAAGTTGTTCAATGTTACTGGAGCTTTCAAGGCACGTTGGGGGGTAGAAAGAATTGAAATTAGAATGATGGGCATAGGTCAGATCACAATGGGCTAGCCATGTCCTGAAAAAGAGTTTGAACTTTATTCTGAAACCACTGAAGCATGAAATAAGGAAAACAAAATAATAAGAATAAGAATGTTGTTACTGTGTGGGCTGAATAATGGTCCCCCGAAGATGGTTTCATATCCTGATATGGTTTGGGTGTTTGGTGCCTCGCAAAAACAGAGCCCCACACTTAGTTTAATGCCCTGCTGTTGCTCTCTTGAAATTTTTAATAATTACTTTACAAGGGGCTATTCTGCATTTTCATTTTGCACCGGGCCTCACAAATTATGTAGCCAGTATTGCCTAATTCTAACATTAATCCTGAAAAACAAAAAATTATACTCACTTTATAAACCAAGACACTGAAAATCTCAGAGAGGGAGTATAATCCAGTAATAAATGCCTGTAGTCAGGTAAATTCTGCTACTTGCCAGTCAGGGACCCTAGGACAAGCTTCCTAATTCCTTCCAAACCTCACTTTCTTCTTTTGCACAGTAATTACAATATCTGCCTTGCAGAGTGGTCATGAGCAGTAGAAATAACATATGTAAAGTACTGACACAGTGCTGGCAGATCAAAAGAACTCGGATGGTAGTTGCTATTGCTCAAAGTCCCAGACTTAGTAAGAGTTGAAGAAGGATTTCATGCCTATAGTTTCTTTTTTTTCTCTCAGACTTGTATTTTGGAAGATCATTCTGGCACAATGTGGATGGTGAAATGTAAGACTAGAGGCAAGAAGACCAGTTCAGAAACTGTGGCAATGTCATAGACAATTTCTGGAAAGACTGTCCATCTCATGCCGTCTCTTTTTTCTTTGATATTTGCCTCTAATATGTAGAAGTCATCCTCCAGAGCTGTGTCCTCATCACATGACTCAACCTTCCTAACCTTCTTAATCTTTGCTGGTGCCCAGATTTCCCCAGAAATTTGGAATTTTGATCCAAGAGATGCAGAGGCTGAGCATTGTTGGAACCAAGTCATATTCATAGCAGACTTTCCAGAGAAGGCCCAGAACAACCTGCTTGCTGCTGAGGTCCCTAGAGCCCCTCTGAAGCCTGCCTCTCCGCAATGATTTCTCAGTTTCTCCTTTCATTCCACACATGTATACATTCAATAAATCTTTTTCCATTCCCTTCTGAAACGACAAGTTGCAACCAATAGAACCATGTAACAATGCTAGAGTTATTGGGAGATATAGTTGAAACATTAATCAAATTTGTGTAATAGGTTTAGGGAGAAGAAGGTGCACATTTAGGAATATGTAGGTGCAGAAGAAAGAGTTTGGAGTGACTTCCACATTTCTGGCTTCAGTGACTGTGTTGCTGTTGCTACAATCATAAAGGTAGTGCATATGGGGAAAAAAAGGAGTGATCGGAGAGGGAGATACTGGACTTGAGGTGCCTAGAGGACATTCCAATGGAGATATACAGTTGGAAATTAGATATCTACTTCTGGAATTCAAGAGAGTAGTCTAGGCTGGCAATACATTTTTGGGAATTTTCAGCATTTAAATGGTCATTACCGCCATGAGGGTGAATGAGATTGCCCAGAGTATTAAGTTAAAAAAGAAGGATCCAAGAATGAAATCCTATATTTTTTAATACCAATGTATAAGAATCAGGTACAAGAAAAGAAACTCTGAAAGGAGGCTTAGAAGGAATGGCCAGGGAGGGAGAAGCAGAACCAGGAGAAGTGCCAAATGAAAGGAGAATGTGGAAAAGGATATGACGTCTAAATCAGTCCAGCATCATTACCAGTGTCCTCTTCATCTACAGCTGAGGCTGCAGTCACCCTATCAAACATACCTCCTGAGCCTGCTCCCAGACCCGGGGATTTTTTTTTCTTTTCTTTTCTTTTCTTTTTCTTTTTTTTTTTTAAGATGGAGTCTCACTCTGTCACCCAGGCTGGAGTGCAGTGGCGCGATCTTAGCTCACTGCAGCGTTCGCCTCCTGGGTTCAAGCGATTCTTGTGACTTAGCCTCCTGAGTAGCTGGGATTATAGGTGACTGCCACCACGCCCAGGATAATTTTTGTATTTTTAGTAGAGATGAGGTTTCATCATGTTGGGCTGGTCTCGAACTCCTGACCTCGGGTGATCTGCCCTCCTTGGCTTCCCAAAGTATTGGGACTACAGGCGTGAGTCACTACACCCTGCCCAAACCCAGGAAATTTCTTTAAGCCCCATCTTCTGCCCTTTGCTATGGCCCTAGATTCTCCTGCACTGCTTGGCTTTTTTGGATGGATGGTTTAGAGTAACAGCTGATGGCTGTTAAAATATCATCAGTTCATCAACAATGAAAGAAATGCAAATTGAACAGCCTAAGGTTGTTAAGATTCAGGCCAGGTGTGGTGGCTCATGCCTGTAATCCCAGCACTTTGGGAGGCCGCGGCAGGCAGATCACCTGAGGCCAGGAGTTTGTGACCAACCTGGCCAACATGCTGAAACC